GTGCTTGCGGGGGTTGAGCTCTGGCTCTTTGGTCCCGCCTCTCAACCGTCAATCAACTGGTGTACAGGTTCCTGAGCCTATTGGGCTCTATCATATCTACACTTGAAACTGTGTATGGAGTCAGCCTCCACCACATCACTGCCTAATGCATTCCATTTGTCTACTACTCTGACACTGAAAAAGTTCTTTCTAACGTCTTTGTGGCTCATGTGGGTACTAAGTTTCCACCTGTGTCCCCTTGTTAGCGTCCCGCCAGTGTTAAATAGTTTATCTTTATCTAGTTGACCAGAAGACGAACTGGCAGGCCTGGCTGGAGACCGGGCCGCGGGGTCGTTGATCCCAGGAAACCTAGAAAGGGTAGGAAGTCTAGTTCTCGGAAAATTGTGCAGGTGGTGATCATGTCTCCCCTAACTCTTCTGTCTTCCAGTGTTGTTAAGTTTAATTCCAGTAGTCTTTCCTTGTAGCTCATATCTGTCTGTGTCGGTCTGTCTGTATCAGGCTGTGTCTGTCTCTCTATGCTGTTCTGTGTCTGTCTTGACAAGACTCTAAGAAGCCCGGTTCAGTTAATTTTTACCTAATTGCCTGATTTTGAGGAGTGAGTCTATGTTTGTACGTTCATATCTATTTATCTATCTATCTATCTATCTATCTATCTATCTATCTATCTATCTATCTATCTATCTATCTATCTATCTGTGCAAGGTCAGAGGCCAGACGCGCTTGGCTAGCCTCATTAAACTTTGCACAATGACCGTTTGGTGGGAAAGAACTGTCGTAGGCAGGTTGGGGTTAACTCCTTTGTCCCGCCTTTTAAGACGAATCTGCCCACATGTGGACCCAGATGTTCGAGAACCTCTAAGTTGACCTGGGTTGACCTAGAGACACATATGGTACATATGTGTCTTCACCTTCCATCATGTATCATGTATACTGTAACTGTTCTATATTATTCAGAGAACAGGAGTTCACCACTTCAATACCGAAACATAGACCAGTTCAACACAATAATAAGTTTCAATATTTAAAAAACTCCATATTTATGAAAAATAATAAAACTCATCAATTGGGTCAATCAAATAGTGGTCAGCGGAGTGCCTCAGAGTGCCTAGTGTGGCTCTTAAGAGTGGTGTCAGCGCTGGGGGCTGACCTTTGACCTCGAACGACAGCCCAACTATCATCACGTTGTCTCAAATAATCCCAAGAGAATAACCAGGAAAGTTTTAAAGCAATTACTACAAGTGTTCCGCTGAGACCTTCACAAGGGGGGGGGGGGGGGAGGGAGGGAGGGAGAGAGAGAGAGAGAGAGAGAGAGAGAGAGAGAGAGAGAGAGAGAGAGAGAGAGAGAGAGAGAGAGAGAGAGAGAGAGAGAGAGAGAGAGACAGAGAGACAGAGACACACTTCCCACAAGAATATTATCCTTGATATACAAAATACAACATTAAGAGAGAAATGTCAGACAACACCTCAGAAATACACCAAGAAATACACCAAGATATACACCAAGATATACACCAAGAAATACACCAAGATATACACCAAGATATACACCAAGATATACACCAAGATATACACCAAGATATACACCAAGATATACACCAAGATATACACCAAGATATACACCAAGATATACACCAAGAAATACACCAAGATATACACCAAGAAATACACCAAGATATACACCAAGAAATACACCAAGCTATACACCAAGATATACACCAAGATATACACCAAGCTATACACCAAGCTATACACCAAGATATACACCAAGATATACACCAAGATATACACCAAGATATACACCAAGCTATACACCAAGATATACACCAAGATATACACCAAGCTATACACCAAGATATACACCAAGATATACACCAAGATATACACCAAGATATACACCAAGATATACACCAAGCTATACACCAAGATATACACCAAGATATACACCAAGATATACACCAAGATATACACCAAGCTATACACCAAGATATACACCAAGATATACACCAAGCTATACACCAAGATATACACCAAGAAATACACCAAGATATACACCAAGCTATACACCAAGATATACACCAAGCTATACACCAAGCTATACACCAAGCTATACACCAAGATATACACCAAGATATACACCAAGCTATACACCAAGATATACACCAAGATATACACCAAGATATACACCAAGAAATACACCAAGATATACACCAAGAAATACACCAAGATATACACCAAGCTATACACCAAGATATACACCAAGATATACACCAAGATATACACCAAGATATACACCAAGATATACACCAAGCTATACACCAAGAAATACACCAAGATATACACCAAGATATACACCAAGATATACACCAAGATATACACCAAGAAATACACCAAGATATACACCAAGATATACACCAAGATATACACCAAGATATACACCAAGATATACACCAAGATATACACCAAGATATACACCAAGATATACACCAAGCTATACACCAAGAAATACACCAAGATATACACCAAGATATACACCAAGATATACACCAAAAATACCCAGATCTGCTGTATACACAACCGCGCCGTCTTGCAAACCTACCATACCCAAACCCAGCCGTTGCACTGATGCAACAGGTGTGTGTGTATGTGTGTGTGTGTGTATGCATACCAATTAGCCTGCCACACATGAGGGCAGCCGCCAAACACAGCAGTATTGACCCTCATCGTGCTAACATGAGTGCGAGGGGGACAATACACACCATCTCAAGATGACCGTCTCCCTTCATGCGGGTCTGCGTTCAATCCCCGACCGTCCACAAGTGGTTGTGGACACTCATTCCTTTCCTGCCCCGTCCCATCCCAAATCCTTATCCTGACCCCCTTCCCAGTGCTATATATAGTCGTAATGACTTGCCGCTTTCCCTTGATCGTTCCCTTCCCTTCAAGATGGCGGCCGGGACTTGTTAAAGTCCGGCTTGAGGATTAGTGATATAAACAACCTAGTTTCAGAGCTCGTAAACTATTATCTGTTAACAAAGCCGGCATGATTGGGGGGGGGGGGGTGGAAAGATGTAAAGGTTTCGGCGGATCTGTGGGACGGAACTGTGAAGCGGAACGGCTGGAGGTCTGTGTCGGGGGGCCACACCATTCTCTGTATCGATCCCAAGTCGTCTTTGTGTTCACAGCTTTCTAACATCTTTTGTTGTTCCAAATTCTTATACCACACCTGTTCCACACCCCCAAGGGGAGGGGGGGGGGGGTGGATGTCTCAGTCTTGTATACTGCCTCCATGTCTATGTCTTGTTCCTGACGTGGACATATGATTATCCACGGTGGATTACAGGTCCAATCCACAGTGGATCTACAAATCCACTAATCCACAAATAGAGAGGAATATATATATGTCTAATCCACTGTGGATTAAATTCTAATCTCTACCCACTGTCTTATGCCACAGCCTAATCCATAATGTCACCATGCACTTGTGTACCTTCAGGACAAACCACCTAATCCCCTCTACCCCCAATCTTCTCTAACCAATCACAGACTCTCCAAAAGTCCCGTCTTTCCAAATTTTCCTTCCAAATCGTCCAGGCCATCTGCTAATGACTCGACTGACAGGTATTTATGACTAGTTAGGCCCGGTTCTCTTGGCTTATGACAAAGGGGGGGGGGAGTCTCTGCCCGCTTGAACCATGACCTGTAATTAGCCGTGACAAGAAAGATAAAAAAGAGGTCCCAAATGGGTTGAAAAGGGTCCCTTGTAAGGGACCTAATATATAAATCCTATTATATTACTGTTAATATTATTTTCAAGAGCATTCTATATCATCATAGAGGCTTAATGGAGGCTCTAAATAGAGCGACTCTTATAGAGGATCTGTTATATCTCAACCCGTTCTCGCACTTTCGTACAGTCAATATTGACTTATTAAATAAGTGCATATGTGACATACTAATTTATTGTGAATATTTTAGTTTACCTTGAAAAGCTTCATAGAAAACACCGACCTTACCTAACCTTCTTAGTATGTTAAGATAAGCATTTTATTGCTTCGTAATTACAATTATTACTTAACCTATACCTATAATAGGTATACACACACACACACACGCACACACACACACACACACACACACACACACACACACACACACACACACACACACACACACACACACACACACACACACACACACACACACACACACACACACACACACACACACACACACACACACACACACACACACACACACACACACACACCACACACATAAATAATAAAATGTCTCTGCCAGGGAATCCGGATCCTACTGTGGATCCGGATTGTCTGTACAGAAACCTCGAGTAAACACTGAAAGACATAGACGACAATAATCTCTCTCAAAGCCTCTCACTTGGTGTCGGGAGAGTTCTTCATGAACATATTGGCTAAAAATAAGTAGTAAGACTTACTGGATGGTTCTTTTCTCCTTATGTGCTTCAAATTTAAATATAATGACAGCAGAAATTGCGTCTATGCTCTCAGCATTAGAGTAAGAGAGATAAGCAATACTTAACGAGGCTGCCTCATATCTAGTCAGCATTGTATGTCATACTTGAAGTCAGTATCTGGAGGAGTCATAGAAGCTGCGACTCTGAGATCTGTGAGGCCACAGATATCAGTTGTTACATTCACTTAAGCTGCAGGCGATGAGTCACAGTAACTTGGTTAAAGTATGTTGACCACACCACACACTAGAAGGTGAAGGGACGACGACGTTTCGGTCCGTCCTGGACCATTCTCAAGTCGATTGGGATCGACTTGATTGTGGTCCAGGATGGAAACGTCGTCGTCCCTTCACCTTCTAGTGTGTGGTCTGGTCAACATACACTTATCATGCTGAGACTAACATGATTATCTTTCAGATAAGGCAGAAATTGCAGTTCTATAGTGATAATATGAACAATTTACCTCAACATTTAGCATATATATAACCCTTGTTTGTCCATGTTCCAGGTTGTTCCGTGTGGCTTTAAGACTCGCTTCTTGTCCTGGTCCTGTGAGGAAAGTGCGGATAGTGAGTGTTGAGGCACACACCTGTTGTATTGCTGTGAGGAAAGTGATTACAATGAGGAAGGGAGACTATGGGTAGTGAGTGATAATGAGAGATCAAGCCTCACTTCGGCGCCACAGGTGACGGAGGAGGAATAGCCTGCAGGTGTAGGCTGTGACACACCTGTACCACAGCCAGGGGGCGCGGCGGTATGCACCTGCCACGCCGTCTCTGTAGCCTCCTAGGGTGCATCTTCTTGCTCTTCCTGTGCTTCTTCTGCGTGGCCGACTATTACAGCTACCACCACTACTACTACAACCCCTCCGTCGTCAGCCAGGAGTACCAACCCTCCCTACCTCAGGGCCCCGCCCCGACACCTCCGCCGTCACAAATCCTCCCCAATGACACCTCCCCCGTCTGGGGCGCCCCACACTGGCAGACAGGAGACAGGAGGAACCCCCACGACAGGAAGAGGAGACAGTGCAAGAAAAAATACTGGAAATGTAACAAGTTGCCGACGGACCCTGAGCCGCCACTGGAGATGTTCGAGGAGCAAGGAGGAGCAAGATATAACTCCAGCTTGGAGAGTGAGTCGACGGAGGATTCTCCACTGTGGACCCAGTTTGCTGATCGCGGCTACACCGTTCTGGGTGAGTTGGCCTGTGTGGCAACATGACATCTTGTAGGGGAGGAGGGGGACAGGATAAGGAAGGGGTCAGGATAAGAAGGGGGTCAGGATAAGGAAGGGGTCAGGATAAGGAAGGGGTCAGGATAAGGAAGGGGTCAGGATAAGGAAGGGGTCAGGATAAGGAAGGAGTCAGGATAAGAAGGGGGTCAGGATAAGAAGGGGGTCAGGATAAGGAAGGGGTCAGGATAAGGAAGGGGTCAGGATAAGGAAGGGGTCAGGATAAGGAAGGGGTCAGGATAAGGAAGGGGTCAGGATAAGGAAGGGGTCAGGATAAGGAAGGGGTCAGGATAAGAAGGGGTCAGGATAAGGAAGGGGTCAGGATAAGGAAGGGGTCAGAATAAGGAAGGGGTCAGGATAAGAAGGGGGTCAGGATAAGGAGGGGGTCAGGATAAAGAAGGGGTCAGGATAAGGATTCGGGATGGGATGGGGGCAGGGAAGGAATGGTGCCCAACCACTTGTGGACGGTCGGGGATTGAACACCGACCTGCTTGGAGCGAGACCGTCGCTCTACCGTCCAGCCCAAGTGGTTGGACCAACTTGCAGAGGAACATATCATTGTTATTTCTTAGGTTAAAACCGCCACCTTAAAACATAAAAACTTAGATAAAACTTAGAAAATTCTTAGAAAAAAATTAGAAAAACTTAAAAACTTAGAACTTAGTTAAAACTTAAATGAGTACTAAAAATAACGATAACTTAAAATAACGATAAAATAACATTATTATATAATATTAAATTAATAATTAATTATTATATAATATTAAATTAATAATTATTATATAATATTAAAATAACTTAAAATAACGATAAAATAACAGCCTACATATATTGACTTAAGGGAAAATTAGAAAGTAGAATTTGTTACTATTTAATTTGTCAAATTTCTATATATTTTTTATTTATATTTCTAATAAGACCTAACCTGATCATCCTAGACCTACTACACGCTATGTGAGGCCTAATATAGTACATATATGTACTATACTAGGCCTAGAAATATTTAATTTAGGCATCTAACTATTTTTTCAGGACTTCATAAGTGAATAGTACGAAATTCTACTTTCTAATTGTCTAATATGTCAATATATGTACTATGGTGCACATAGATACAAAAAGTACTATCTAAGCAGGATAGGCTGTGGACAACCTATCCTCCTGATTTACATAGTACTATTTGTAACAATGGGCACCATAGTACAAATACTGACGTACTAAGCAATTAGATAGTACAATTTGGTACTATTCACTTTATAGAGTCCGAAAAAATTAGGCTAAAAAACTAAATTAAATATTCCTAGGCTTATTATAGCACACATATGTACTTTATTAGGCCTCAGGTATTGTGTAGTAGGCCTGGGGAGGTTAGGTTAGGTTAGGTTAGGTTAGGATAGGTAAAGTTAGGATAGGTTAGGTTAGGATAGGTTAGGTTAGGATAGGTTAGGTTAGGTTAGGATAGGTTAGGTTAGGTTAGGTTAGGTTTGGATAGGTTAGGATAGGTTAGGTTAGGTTAGGATAGGTTAGGTTAGGTTAGGTTAGGTTAGGATAGGTTAGGTTAGGTTAGGTTAGGATAGGTTAGGTTAGGATAGGTTAGGTTAGGATAGGTTAGGTTAGGTTAGGTTAGGTTAGGATAGGTTAGGTTAGGTTAGGTTAGGATAGGTTAGGTTAGGATAGGTTAGGATAGGTTAGGTTAGGTTAGGATAGGATAGGTTAGGTTAGGTTAGGTTAGGATAGGTTAGGTTAGGATAGGTTAGGATAGGTTAGGTTAGGATAGGATAGGTTAGGTTAGGTTAGGATAGGTTAGGATAGGTTAGGTTAGGATAGGTTAGGTTAGGTTAGGTTAGGTTAGGATAGGTTAGGTTAGGTTGTCGTTGGAACATAAATAACAAACCTTTTCTGATTTGTCCAAATGCAATAGTGCAGATTTCTACTTTATAATTGCGTTGTATGTCGGTATATGTACTATGGTCCTCATCGTCACTACCAAGTACTACCAAAAGAGGAGGGATGGGCTGTTGTAGAACTGTCGACGCTGAATTGTTGGCAAAGATTGCTAACTGTTGCGTGGTGGTCCAAAAGCTCTTCTCTTGTGCAGGCGAGGAGTCACAATAACGTGGCTGAAGTATGTTGACCAGACCACACACTAGAAGTTGAAGGGACGACGACGTTTCGGTCCGTCCTGGACCATTCTCAAGTCGATTGACTTGAGAATGGTCCAGGACGGACCGAAACGTCGTCGTCCCTTCAACTTCTAGTGTGTGGTCTGGTCAACAACGCTCTTCTCTTGTTTACATACTATCACCCTTTAACGATCTAGAGACAATTAACATCGAAATGATCGTAACTCTAATCGTAAACATCAAACGTATTCTTTGTTACTAGATAGAGAACTTGGATTAGATTTTGCATGCAAAGTGCTTCTTTAGAAGGACGTATACCTTCCCACGGAGTACGTACAACACAGAGCGACAAAAGTCTTCCGAGAACTATGTCAACTCTCATACGACGTCCGGTTGAGGGCTATACAGGGCTAACAACACAACAAACCAGACATGACAGAGCTGATCTCATCAAAACTTTTAAAATACTGAACAAGTTGGAGGATATTGACCCGGACAACTTCTATAAAAGTTCAAATGTAACACAGCCAAGGAGGATCAGCCTCACGCACAACAAGCTACAATATAACAAAGAAAACATGATACGCAGACATGACAATAGCGTGATGCATCAAATGAACAAATCCACAAGGGCCGTTACGAGGATTCGAACCTGCGTCCGAGACCATGTCGTAGCTCAGTCGATTAAGGCAGCGTCTGGGATGCTTTCGGACGCAGGTTCGAATCCTCGTCACGGCCCTGGTGGATTTGTTCATAAAGAAAACAGGGGATGCTTTCAATTATTTTTCCAGTTGGATTTTGAACTTTAGTAATGTTCCACGGGTTTATAACCCTAACAGCGAGAAACACCGTTTGGGTTATAAACCCGTGGAACATTACTAAAGTTCAAAATCCAACTGGAAAAAAATATCATGAAAAATTGTGGGGGACATTTGACAAGCCCCCGGCTTCCTGTCCTCGTCATAGCCACAAAAGAGATAGTAGCCCTCAGGCAAATTCCGGTAAAAAATTTTACTTTTGTAATGAGCATAGTTTCCTTCTTTCACTCAGTACTACTCCAGCAGCCCTTGTTGCACTCAGCAGCCCTTGTTGCACTCAGCAGCCCTTGTTGCACTCAGCAGCCCTTGTTGCACTCAGCAGCCCTTGTTGCACTCAGCAGCCCTAGTTGCACTCAACAGCCCTTGTTACACTCAGCAGCCCTTGTTGCACTCAGTAGCCCTTGTTGCACTCAGTAGCCCTTGTTACAATAAACAGCCCTTGTTGCACTCAGCAGCCCTTGTTACACTCAACAGCCCTTGTTACACTCAGCAGCCCTTGTTGCACCCAGCAGCCCTTGTTGCACTCAGCAGCCCTTGTTGCACTCAGTAGCCCTTGTTGCACTCAACAGCCCATGTTGCACTCAGCAGCCCTTGTTGCACTCAGCAGCCCTTGTTGCACTCAGCAGCCCTTGTTACACTCAGCAGCCCTTGTTGCACTCAGTAGCCCTTGTTGCACTCAACAGCCCTTGTTGCACTCAGTAGCCCTTGTTGCACTCAGTAGCCCTTGTTGCACTCAGTAGCCCTTGTTACAATAAACAGCCCTTGTTGCACTCAGCAGCCCTTGTTACACTCAACAGCCCTTGTTACACTCAGCAGCCCTTGTTGCACCCAGCAGCCCTTGTTGCACTCAGTAGCCCTTGTTACACTCAACAGCCCTTGTTACACTCAGCAGCCCTTGTTGCACCCAGCAGCCCTTGTTGTACTCAGTAGCCCTTGTTGCACTCAGCAGCCCTTGTTGCACTCAGTAGCCCTTGTTGCACTCAGTAGCCCTTGTTGCACTCAACAGCCCTTGTTGCACTCAGCAGCCCTTGTTGCACTCAGCAGCCCTTGTTGCACTCAGCAGCCCTTGTTGCAATGAGTAGCCCTTGTTGCACTCAGTAGCCCTTGTTGCACTCAACAGCCCTTGTTGCACTCAGCAGCCCTTGTTGCACCCAGTAGCCCTTGTTGCACTCAGCAGCCCTTGTTGCACTCAGCAGCCCTAGTTGCACTCAACAGCCCTTGTTGCACTCAGCAGCCCTTGTTGCACTCAGCAGCCCTTGTTGCACTCAACAGCCCTTGTTGCACTCAGCAGCCCTTGTTGCACTCAGTAGCCCTTGTTGCACTCAACAGCCCTTTTTGCACTCAACAGCCCTTGTTGCACTCAGCAGTCCTTGTTGCACTCAACAGCCCTTGTTGCACTCAGCAGCCCTAGTTGCACTCAACAGCCCTTGTTGCACTCAGCAGCCCTTATTGCACTCAGCAGCCCTTGTTCCACTCAACAGCCCTTGTTCCACTCAACAGCCCTTGTTCCACTCAACAGCCCTTGTTGCACTCAGCAGCCCTTGTTGCACTCAGTAGCCCTTGTTGCACTCAACAGCCCTTGTTGCACTCAACAGCCCTTGTTGCACTCAGCAGTCCTTGTTGCACTCAACAGCCCTTGTTGCACTCAGCAGCCCTAGTTGCACTCAACAGCCCTTGTTGCACTCAGCAGCCCTTGTTCCACTCAACAGCCCTTGTTGCACTCAGCAGCCCTTGTTGCACTCAGTAGCCCTTGTTGCACTCAGTAGCCCTTGTTGCACTCAGTAGCCCTTGTTGCACTCAACAGCCCTTGTTGCACTCAACAGCCCTTGTTGCACTCAGTAGCCCTTGTTGCACTCAGTAGCCCTTGTTGCACTCAGTAGCCCTTGTTGCACTCAGTAGCCCTTGGCAAGGTCCAATAAGCGCAGGAACTCATAATGACTGGATCAGGCGAACTGTTGTGGGTGTAACTCTGCAGCAATTACCCTGAATTTCAGGGAAGCTTCCGTGGATGGTTCAGAAATTATCGT